TGTTGTTTTATTCCCTGAAGAAAAGGCAAAAAATATGGAAAGGGAACTTTGGAAAAAAAACAAAAACAAAAACAAAAAAAAAACAAAAAAAATGAATGGAACATCATTTTGTACAGTAGAATGGGATTGGATTACTATTGCATCTACAGTAACTTCTCATTGGCCTTTTTATATAAGTTTAGATAAAAGCTATATCATTTCAATTGTTATTTGGGACATGGTCAATCTTTCTGTGCTATATACATCATGGAGTCCATTATTAGAGGTCATTTCGTTGAAAAAATCAATTTTCAGCAGTTAAATACGATAGTACCGTTCTACGTAGCAATAACAACTAGAGGGCCGTTCTACATTATAGATAACGATTGTAGTGCAATTATCATTCAATAGATCCAGACAACATAAAAGACATACTGAATATGAAAACAAAAACTAGATATCATTCAATACTATATTCAATAATAAATGTACAATCTACATATAATTTCTAAAAGTGTCTTTCTTCTTTCTTGAAATGTAAATGATATATTTTTAAAATAGATAATATGCTTATCAAACTCTTGTTCAATTGCTCAAAAGATACTTAAAATAGGTGAAGAATATAATAAATAACAGAATTTTAGAGTAGCAACATGGTAGTTGAAGATGAGAAAACGAGTAATTGTGATTTGAAGACCCAAAATTAAATTAGGGAATTAATTGGATTGCTAAGAGTGTTAGGGTCTTTTCCATGGTAGGGATATTTATGACATTTGACATTATTTTTTTTTACTGTATTTTATAATTGGAGGTCATTTGACTAAGAAATATCGAGAGAGGGTTAATAATTAACCAAATACATTCCTTGACTAGGCTTTTTAACTAACTCTTTCTAAATATAAACTGTTGAGTGTTACATGCACGTTGGGCAAGAGTTTATAATTTATTTATAAGGATTTAAATCATTTTTTATTTATATTTATGGATTCATAAATAATATTATTTATTCATTTGTTATTTTTAATTTTTTATATTTTAAATTGATTACAAACAACTAGCCAAGCACATTATAACAATGTATAGATAATTAAAACGATATTTGTTCATTTGTTGTCTATCCTCGTATCCAAGATTTTGTTCTTCTATATTTCATATAATTTGTCAAGTTGAAAGCCAAAATGACAATAGATCATTTTATATACATCATGTTTAGAGTTGGACATTGAGCAAAAGAAAACATTACCAGTCATGTGATTTTTAGCTCATGATGTTGATAGAAGTCATGAATACGAGCTTCACACCATTATATAGGTGTTGACTTCAAGCAGAGGGTGTTGATTCCGCGGTGTCGAAACCTTATCCCAAATTACGCTCTTTTTTCTTCAAGTTGGCATGGGGTCGATACCTAAGCCCAGGTGTTGATACCTATGCCATTCCATCTTTCCTCACGTCTTCATTTTTATATCTCCTGTTGTTAACAATATTATACTGTATTCTCGCTATTTTTTACTTATTTTTAAGCCTGTATAAAGCTCATGTTTATGCAATATTTATAAACACTCAAATCACTTTTATTTCACTTTAATTTCCACATTTTCAAGAGATTTACAAGTACTATTCACTAATCCATTGTTCATTGCTCTATATTTCTAATTTAAATCATTCATTAACACAAAGTAATCGAAATTGACTAAAAATGCTCATAATTTTGTTACCTACAACTGTTTGCTTACTCAAAACTTGACAATATTTTTATTTATTTATTTATTTATTATTATTATTTTTTGCTAACTTCCTCAATAAAGCTAGCTTCTGACAATTACTAATTTAGCTCATACTTGAGCTTCATTCTTTAAAATTCATTTTTCTTTCTAAAATTATTTTTAACTGCACATTCTTCTAATAATTTTACATGTAAATTTAAAATATAATTTTTTTTTAATAAGATGTACTCTAACAAAACGATTTTTATAAAATATATTCTTACAAATCGGAGGTCAAAGAGCACTTAGTGACTATATATTTTCATTACAACGAAAGTCTTCAATAATTAATTACTCATTGTCGCTCTTATTTTTCCAACGTTTGTCCATTTCTTACCGTCAACATTCCATTAATTAGAACATCTTATCTCTAGTGACGATTTTCATCAAAAAAAGAAAATCCTTAAAAGATTACAAAAAGATTTGTTTGTCCATCACATTTTTAAATAACGAGAAAAAAATAAATAATATAAATGTTCGGGTACATATTTATCCCTAATTTCGAAATATGCTAACAAAATATTTGGATAGAAACCGTCATTAGGAACATGGTTTATTAATTAATTGAAGGTGAGAGATAAAAATGTAACAAAAGAAAGTTGAGAACATAAATGCAACACCTTCATTACAATTAAAATATGGTGCAAATAAATAAAAATTGTGGCATAAATACATCCTTAATATTTATCTACACCTTTAATATTTATCTACACCCAAAAATTAAGCAACATTTTTATATCAAATAACTATAACAGTTAGGCATATAAGTGAATATTCACTTCAAACTTTAGCCTTTTGTATCAACATTAAAACAAGTATGCATTGCAAGTAAGCATATAAATAATACACAATCATCAACTACTCTTTTAACTTCTCTACACATATGTTACACCTTCTAACTTCATAACGTGACAAACTCATTTGACTTCCAATGCGTAGTTCAACAAAACGGTTCATAACTTCTCTTTGGATGCAAATTATTCCAGAAACTTATCTTCAAACTAGAATTAATAATTATATCTTAAAAGACAATTATTTATCAGCTTCTTGTACATATGTCAAATTTTAGAGAGCTAACTGTGACGCAATAATTATGAAACTGGAACATCAAATTGTTAATTAAGTTCCAAATACTCATGACAAACAAAAACAATATAGAGTAAATGGTGTATGAGTTTATGGAACTGGGAAAAAAACAGTAAATTAAGGACAAATGAGGGAATTACCCTTGTCATGAGGGTGTAGCAATTAAAATCCAAAATCTAAGTTATTTGATATCTGAGTCTTTCGATCAAAGTCGATAATTAATTTTCACCATATATTTTATGAAATCTACAACTTTTCAACCACACATTTATCAACTTATATCAAAATCTACTAAAAATCTGATTTTAATACAAAAAAACAGGGGCTTAATAACATTTGGATCCCTACTAGGCCCCTATTTGGACGAAATTTTTAGGGCAAAAAATTTATTTTTTTAACCGTTGGCCACCCATTTGCAGTCATCTTTGTTGACCAAAGCTCTCCGGGTGGGTCCCGACAAACCAAAAAGGGTAAAAAAAAATTGCTCCCTTTTTTTTTTTTTTTTTTGGAAAAGCTGCTCCAAACAGCCGCTAGATCTCCAATGTGAAAGGTCGTCCCGTCAGTTTTCAGCAAAAGCTAGCGAACTTCTCAATGATCAGAACACTAGGATTTGCAAGGTCCTCATTTTCTTCTTACAGGTTAGTGTTAAGGCCTTTCTTTTATACTTTTTGAAATGCTGAAAACGAGCTTCTTATTCCGACGCTTGACAACTTTGGCAGCAGCATCACAGTTCTTTTTTGTCCTTATCTTTGGCAGTAGCAGCATTTTTGTTGGTGACATTATCATCATCGTCTTCGCTTGAACTACAAGCTCTTATTCTAATGCATCCTTCACAAAAAATTTCAACCTCCACAAAGTAGATTCATGCTGCATTTCACCGAGATATGAATATGCCAAGAGAATATTACCCAAAAAGTGTACAGCACAAAGTTTATATGAACCCGTGCATTGAAGTCAAGCTCCACGTTTTCAGCTCTCGATGGGAAGCAGCTATTATATCTAGTGCCTTGCTAAGATCTTCAGGACATAATTTGGAGAGATCAATCCCAAGTTTTCTTTTCTCCAACATAGATACATATACGCCTGGAGTAATGCTTTCATAAGTACCATTGAGTGACGACAAGATAGGAAGAAAAAATAACCACAGTTGTAAATAAACTACTCATCAAAAATCCTGATGGATCCAATACTTCATTTTCAATTATCATTTCCTCTATCTGGCCCTAAGCATGTTCATTCCTACACAATTGGACACGTGAGTGAATATGTCTGTGGTCAGGAAAAGTAAAAAAGCTAAAATATTTACGTATTGATACAAAGCAGAAATGCCTGATATAAAGGACAAACCAGTCTATTCAATTTCAGGCATGAGAAACATAAGGTCCTTAGAATGAGTTAATGCTAGTGCCACTGTTGATTGAAGTAGAGGGGGAAGGAGTCGGAGGAACCGACAGGCGACTGAGGAATGTATCCTTACTTCTGAGATATAAACCACAAAACGTGAATACAATGGCAAAATTGAACAAGCATTAGTACTGACCTGCATCTTTTAACGATCATCTCTCCGAGTTCGTCAATATGCATGTCAACCTCATAAAGCTTTAACAAATTTAAAACGGATTATCAACTCTTTTAAGGCGGTAACTGACACGACCCATCTCGAATCATCTCAGTGGACTCTACACGTGTCGTGCACCGATGGTAGATAACAGCTAAACGCTGGACCCACCACCAAGGCAACTTTGACTTGCTTGACTGAAAAATATTTTTAACAAAATTTTGACAAAGTTTCCTCTAAAATATAAACTAAAACCATCTGAACAATAACCAAGTTTCCTCAATTCAAGCCCCAAGGCACATCTCCAAGTGGTAAAAGGGGAGGGTGGAGAAATCCAGCTTTACTTGAAGCTGCTGCGTCAAGAGTTCGAATCCTGAAATATGGATTTGGCTCTTAGGTAAGTGCAAGTGTACAAATAACCTTCCACCCTATATCCTTGGAGGCATAACCTGCGATTTACCTCCCTCATGATACTCCAGGGCAGGAGTGGTGGGGGACCCTTAAGGTTAGAGTTTAACCTTTTTTTTTTTAAATTTCCTCAATTCAATACCTATAAAATAAAACAGGATACACCAGTCCCTCAGAATACAAACTATTCAAATAAAATGCGGGCAATTCAATATACTTGTTTTACGACCAACAATCCTCAAACACACCAAATACGTCAAATATGTAATGTGCCCATGATGAATTTTTCTTATTTAAGATACATGTACTCCAAAAGAACACATATTGTAAAAGGATGTCATACAACCTACGAAACGTAACTCAATTCAATGGTTCAACAGGGTCCAAAGCTGCTCAATTCGGCTGCTATTTGATAAAAAAAATGGCGAAAAGATGTATAAGCTTATAGCTTAGTGAGTGGATAATTTGCAAATAAATATATTTTTCTATTTATATATATTTTCTGAAAATTCTTGAACTACTAAAACTTCTAGAAATTTTGAAATCTGATAACACTTTTAAAACTAAACATAATTTCATCATAAAATTCTTTGTTCTTAATCCTAGATAAGCAACTGTAAAATATAATGACATAAATAATATGATATCCATGAAAATCTATGAAATATTCATGCTGTTCAATATTATAAGCTGAAAGCTTTATTCTAAAAACTGAATTAACTGAATTCTATAATCTGAAATTTGATAAGTTGTAGAAATACTGAAAAATCACATCAAAAAAGTACTCAATGAATAACTTTACTCATGTATCGATTAGTACCGATAGACATGGCAAAGCTATTCAATTCTATAATTCTGAAATTCTGTAATTTTGAAATTCTAAAATTCTGGTCATACGCGGGCGGAGCTGAAATTCTGTAATTCTGGTCACATACTATGGAAACACATTCACAATAGTGCAGAGCAAGTAAAATCACAATAACTGGTCATACACTATGGAAACACATTCACGCAAGTGCAGAGCAAGTAAAATAACCATATGGGATCATGCACTGTGAAAACACATTCATAGTGTGTAGACTAGTGTAATTACCTTGGTACTTTTTGGTGATTTTAAATTTTTTTTTAAATATGCTGAATTATTTAATATTGAAATAGTATGCCACTGAAATAATTTAACTGAATTGAATTTAACTTTAAAAATGATTGCTTATATCAACTTTATTATAAAAATCGTGCTATCAAATCAACTGTATGAAATAATAAAATTTTTAATCTAAGATAAATTTAATAAATAGTAATTTATGAAAAATAATTTTTTATCCACTCACAGCTCTATGGATAAAAATTTAGCTAAATTAACGGGCATCTTTAAACTTTCACGTCATTACCTAAAATAACAGTATAATAACTCAAATTAAAATATGACAATTAAACTAATGCAAAGTCACCACTTAATTCCTCAACTTTCAAATTTTCTCTTGAATCTCCATTTCTCGATACTTGAATGAATTCCCAATTTTTCTTCTCTAATGATTTATCAACTAATCATTATTCATTATCAAATCCATTAAATCACTTGCACTTGCTTAAATTCAATACCTTATACATAATTTAGTCTACTACATAATTTAGACAAAAACAATACTAAAATTCCAGAATATGGAAGTGTAAAACAAGTTTCTGTACACCGAAAATTATCACCAAAACAATTGACAGAAATGGCATTTTTCTGGGCAAAATTACAAAATCAGCACCTGTGTAGGATTTTGTTCAAAAATTGCTTATAATACTTACTTAAAAATAGAGAAATCAACCCCCAATTCCTTAATTTAAATGTTTGACGTTATATGATCTCAAGAAAATTAAAGAATAACTATCTATTTAATAAACCCATTTTCAAAGTTTCATTTTCTTCAACACCCATCTTTCAATATGAAATTATTTGACATGTTCATGTTTAATACCTCAAATATATGTCAATAACCTCTAATTCTTGCTAAACTTCGAATGAAGGCAAATTGTTCGTAAACCCTAAAAATTTAATTAAAATATTTTCACTTACCTTTTGAGTAGAAGGAGAAATTGAAAACCTATACTTGAAGAATAGACACTACATCTTCCTTCTTCCTCTTCCTCTTTCTTTTTTTCCCCCTTTTTCTTTTTCTTCCTCTTTCTCTCGATTTTTCCAGGTTCTTCTCTGCGTTCCTAGCTCTATGGATATGTATGTATGTGTAAAATGAATTGACAATTGGGTTTTAATTGGCCCATTAACTTCCTTTTGCAAAAGTAGTCCCTTACTTTCAATAATATATAAGTAAATCGCCAAAATTAAATTTTATCCATCTTGAACCTTCAATTTTTATAAATTGTAAAATAAACCTCAATAAAATAATTTGGTCAATTTAACACCCAATAAAATCAATTCTTTCATTTAAGTCCCTAGTTGACTTGGATTTTGAATATTCAAGTTTTGACTTTGACTAAATAATATGGGTTGTAACAGTAACACTTCGAAAAAAATACACATTTGAATGGAATGCTCGAGGGTACGAACAATTAGGCAATTTCTTTTCCTTCATAGTTTCACAACCAAAACTATTAAGGAGTGTATAGTTCGAAGGACTCGGCTAATGATCTATGGGATTCATTGGAGAAAAAAGTACAAATCGAGGATGTCGGAAGAAAAAAAGTTCCTAGTTGGCAAATTTTTGGACTACAAAATAGTAGACTCCAAAATCGTAATAAGTCAAGTACAAGAACTTCAAGTTCTACTTCATGACATATATGCGAAAAGAGGACCTAAGTGAATCTTCCCAAGTTGCAGCCATCATTGAAAAAACTCCCGTCGTTGTGGAAAGATTTCAAGATCTATCTCAAGGACAAATGCAATGAGATGAAGTTGGAGGAACTGATAGTCCGTTTGAGGATTGAAGAAGACAATAGAAAAATCAAAAGAAGGTATATTGTCCAACTTGGAACGAACTTTGTAGAAATTGGTTCGAAAGTTGTCGATAAGAAGCGTTAGATCTCTAGTGATGCACCTCAAAGAGATAACTTCAAGAAAGCCAAAGAATTTAAAGGCAACTATTACAATTGTAGAGAAGTTGAACATCATTCAAATGAATGTTAAAAGCCTAGAAAAAATGCACATGCAAATGTTGTAGAAGGAATCTATCTGCAATTGTTTCTGAATGCAACAACGTTGGAAATTTAAGGGAGTGGTGGGTTGATACTTGTGCTACCGTCACGTGTGTGCAGACAAGACAATGTTTTCTAACTACAAAGAATTGGATGGAGAACAACTCTTCATGGAAAATTCTCTAAGCTTTAAAGTTGAAGGATAAAGAAAGTTACTTTGAAAATGACATATGGTAAAGAATTTGTCCTCAACAATGTCCTACATATACCAGGCATTCGCAATAATCTTATATCCAAATCTCTACTTGGAAAAAATGGCTTCAAGCTTGTATTTGTATCCGATGTACTCACTGAGAATGTCATGTATGTTGGGAAATGATACATGTGTGATGCAATGTTCAAAATGAATGTTCCTACAATTGTACTAAAGCAGAGCATCATGAATAAATATTTTAATTCAGTTTATATATTTGAGTTATCTTATTTGTGGTATAGTTAATTATGATACATCAATTATAAATTTTTGGGCAAACTTATGAATCAAAGTTTAATTTTGGCACTTTAGATTGATCCTAATCATAAATGTGAAGTATGTGTTGAAGCAAAGTTCGTTAAAATATCATTTCACTCTGTTCAAAGGAACACGACACCTTTAGGATTAATACATAGCGATATTTGTAATTTGAAATTTGTTCAAACTAAAGGTGGTAAAAAATACTTCATTATTTTCATTGATGATTGTACAAGTTTGTACTAAGGAGTAAAGATAAAGCTTTAGATGCCTTCAAATATTACAAGGCAGAAGTTGAGACTCAACTTGGTAAACGAATAAAAAATATTCGTAGTGATAGAGGAGAAGAATATGATGCACCATTTGAAGAATTTTGTTCAGAACATAGAATCATTCATCAAACAACAATACCTTACTCACCTCAATTGAATGAGATTACTGAACGCAAAAATCGAACTCTTAAAAAATAATGAACGCAATGTTGTTAAGTTTGGGTCTAACATGGAACTTGTGGGGAAAAGCTATTTCAACTACAAATATTATTCTTAACAAGATATCCCTTAACAAAATGGAAGAAGCTCTATATGAATTATGGAAAGGACGTCCTACCAACACTTGAAAGTATGGGGTGTTTGGCTAAGGTTGAAATACCTAAACCTAAACAAGTAAAAATTTGTCCCAAGATGATTGATTGTATATTTATTGGATATGCCAATAATAGTAGTGTTTATTGTTTCCTTGTACACAAATTTGAAGTTCAAAATGTATATGAAGGAACCATAAAGAATGGGTTATTCTTCGAAAATGTTTTTCCATGTAAAGACAAGAAGAGTGCAAGTTCAAATAAAAGGACTTATGATACTACAAATAACACTTTAAATGAGGAAGAACCAAGATGTAGGACTAGAACATACGTGATGTTTGGCCCATATTTTCTAACCTATATGGTAGAGAATGATCCAAAGAGTTTCAATGAAGCAACGTCTACATCGGATGCACCGCATTGGAAAGAAGCTTTCAATGAAAAGATAAATTCTATATCGAAAACCATACTTGGGATTAGTTGATTTATCTTCTGGAAATAAGCATTTAGGGTGTAAACAAATTTTAAAGAAGAAACTCAAACCGGATGGATTTATTGATAAATATAAGGCTTGATTAGTTGTCGAAAGATATGGACAAAATGAAGGACTTGACTTCTTTGATACTTACTCACTACTAACAAGAATCACTTCAATAAAGTTGTTAATTGCAATTGTGGAATTCACAATCTCGAAATCATCAAATGGATGTAAAAATGCCATTCTGAAATGGTGAGTTAGAAGATGAGCTTTATATGGAGCAACCCAAAAGTATTGGTCTTTCCTAATCACAAACAAAAGGTTTAAACTCGATAAGTCGTTTTATAGATTGAAACAAGTTCCTAAACAATGACACCAAAATTTTGACAAAATGATGTTGTTAAACAAATTTGAGATAAACAAGTTTGATAAGTGTGTATACATAAAATGCACACCAAAAGCCTATATGATTTTATGTCGATATGTAGATGACATGTTAATACTGTGCAGTAGTCACAAAATAATGTCACCAAGAGAATGTTAAGAAAACATTTTGATATAAAAGACTTGAGTACAACTAATGTGATATTAGGAATTAAGATCTCTAGAACATCAGATGAAATTATACTTTAACAATTTTACTAAATTGATAGTATACTAAAAGGTAAAAATCTACTTCAAGAAAGTCTTGCAAAAATCCTTATTGACACGAGTATAGACTTAGTCAAAAATACGGGTAAATGTGTATCGCAACTAAATTATTCACAGGTTATGGGTAGTCTAATGTATATTACGAACTGTACTCGATCGGACATAGCTTTGGCTGTAAATAAACTTAGTAGATTCACAAATAATCCAAGCTCTGATTATTGGAAGGCTTTAACAAAGGTTCTTAGGTATTTGAAGTATACCTTATTCTATGGATTACACTTTACAAAATATCTTGCGGTATTAGAAGGATATTGTGATGCAAATTGAATATCCGACATGAAGGATTCTAAGTCTACAAGCGGTTATTTATTTACCATTGGTGGAGCTGCTATGTGATGAAGTCAACAAAGCAAACATATATAGCTCAATCAATGATGGAACCGGGGTTCATTGCTTTGGACAAAGTTGGAAAAGAAGCAGAATGGCTTCGTAACTTCTTGGAAGATATTCCATGTTGGCCCAAGCCAATACTTGCAATAAGTATACGTTGTGATGGTTAGTCGACTATTAGAAAGGCTCGAAATAGCATATATAATGGTAAGTTTAGACATATACGTCGTATACAAATTACTATAAAATAACTAATCTCTAATGGTATCATCTTCATAGATTATATGAAATCAATTGGGAACATCATGGATCTACTTACAAAAGGATCGGGATTAAAGCCTACTATGTAAGAATCTTCGTAATGTATCTCTACATTGTTGACTGGCGATCCCAAGTTCTTGGTTCAAATGAATAACTAAGTTATCAAGATTCAATGAAGCACTTGAGAAATTATTTTCTAACTCATTCCTATGATATTAAAGTGTTTTTTACAGAGTGATTAAAGGTTAAGATACTTTTTCAATGGTTCCTATATCTAAATCAAGTTAAGTGGAGTAGGACATAATACTTCTAAAAGGAGGTCGCCTATGTAAGTGCAAAATGGGGCCGCTTCAATGAGAATTGTTCGAGGCTAAAATTCTCTAAATGCTTATGAAGCACAAAAGTGGTTCAGGGCCGAAATAAAGTATGTCATGAGAAATAAGGATGATTTAGAGAAGAAATCTGTGTTAGTATTGTTGTCTTGACTTACATCAAGGGCTGAGTGGTTCAAGACATCATGTTCACTAATTAGCCAAGTAAGTCTAATGGTATTTCACTAAGGAATGTTCAAAACCAAAAGCTATCTTATCTAATGATGCAATGTTTTTTTGCTCTCTCTCTCTACGATGCATCATAAAGTTTTCACATTGTATATGCATGTTTATATTTTCATTCATGTGAGGGATTGTTGAAAATTGGTTTAAATTTGGGAAAAAATTGGTTAAATATTAAAACCAAGAATTGTGAAAAAGTAAATTTCGTGTCAACTTTGGCCAAACATTCAGACTTGATCCGATAATCAAATTATGAATGTAAATAGACTAGCTTGCTCTACTGGTATAGTAAATTGTTGTGGTATATTTGGAATCCTAAAACCTATTTCGGATCAGTGAGAAAATTGTGGTCCAAAGTTTGGAAGAAAAGAGAAAAAACTTGTCAAAAAATTGCCTAACTCCGTCGCTCGCCTAATGCTCGAGCAATGGGACTGCTGATCGAGCAACAGGCGAGCAGGAAATATTCCTTTAAAAATTTGATACTGGCGCTTGAGTGAGAGACCAACGACAGCAAGAGATGCTTCCCTTTGTAAGCTTGCTGAGTTTAAAGCCCTTCACTTCACTCATAACTTCTCATCCTCTATAAATATGACCATTTGGACGTCTATTATGCATCATATATCATTTTTGCATTAAGCATTACATCAA